AAAAAAAAAAAAAAAAAAGATTGGGAGTGGAGGGTGGTAGCAGGTGGCTGGGCGAACTTGTTTCCTCCAACTTGTTACAAGGAGTTGGAGTAAAGAAAGTGCCTTGCAGAGTAGGCTGCTGCCTCCTGGTGGCCAGCCGCTGCCTTGCAGGGATCCTGCCAAGGGACTTCACTTGGCACTGTTGGAAGCAGCCTGAGGTGAAGCTGGGCAGGCTGATGTGATGGCCTGCAGCTCCAGTCACCAGCGGACTCTCCTTCCACAAAAGAGGTGCTGAAGCTCCTGAGGCACATGCTGAACTCTGATGTGGGGCTCTAGAGTTCCCCAGTCAGGCTAAAGGAAGTGAGCAGAGAGAACAAGATAAAGAATGGGCACCTCCTTATAATGGTTTCCTGGGAAAAGCTCACCACCTTCTGAGAAGCAGGAGAAATGACCACGCAGACCCCGCAGGCAGAGGCTGTCAGTCTCTGAGCCTGGGCCATGGCCGCTCGTTGTGTCAAAGGAAATGCTTCTAAGTGTGTAGCCCGCCTGCCTGGGGCACCTAAGCTGAGGGTTTGACCATGTGCTTGATGTTCATAGGTAAAACAACTGCTGCGACCTGCACTGGCCCAGCCCGGAGTGCCTGTGAGGGGCCGGCTGCCTGTTCTGCCAGTGTGCCTAGAGAGCTGGGACAGGCTTGGCCCTGTGGATAAAGTTCAATCTCCCCTGCCTGCAGAAGGAAGAATGTGAAGCACAGGGAAAGGAAGCTGGGATTCTGACTGCCTCTGTGTGCCCAGCCTGCTCTTTGCTGGTGCAGTAGTGGGGATCCACAAGGTGAACCACCCTGTGACTGCTGACTTTTCCCACCACCACCTTCGTGGTGTTCCCATCTGCTGGATCCCCTCCCAAACATCAGTCCTTGTCAGGATACCAAAGTAGCTCTTGGCCTCGCCGGTCTTGTAGCCAAGCTTAGAAGCATAGTTGTCACGTTCCCCACCTCCCACCAAAAGTCCGGGACTCTCACTAGGGGAGCGTTTTATCTTTGGGCCCCTAGAAGAGTGCTTTGTAGTTTGTAGGTCCTCAGAAATTTGAGGCGAAGATTGAACCAATCATCAAGGAGCTTACACTTGATGTGGGAATCACGTAAGTTATCGCTAAACCAGAAAAGTAGACCAGCCTCCCCCAGCTACAACCCGGGCACTGAGGGAGAAGCCTGGAAGAAGGGCATTCCCATGGAACGTGAACTCCAGGAGGGCGGAGCCTTGGTTTTGTTCACTCTATCCCCAGCCCCTAGAACTGTCCTGGCAAGGAGTGATAATAAGTGTTGCATGGATGAATGTACTCACGGAAGTGGGAATGGGTGGACGGAGGCAGGAAGCAGATATTTGCACTACGCAGAGATTGGATCCACCAGTTTCTTCCGCGAGCCCAGACTGGGCTTCAGCTTCCTCGGCTGTGTATGCCTTGCTTGGTTCCCAAGTCTGTTGTGAAGCCACAGTGAGAGAAAGTGGCAGGACTAAAGGTGGTACAAATGCCAGAGGCTGATACTGCTGTGCTGCACCTCCTTAGCCTGTACAAATTCTCCTCAGCCCCAGCTCCCTGGTCCCCAGCCTGGCCCTCTACTGCGGACCACTGGGTTGCCTCCCGTACCCAAGCCTGGGCCAGGCTGTCATTATGGTGCTCCTGGCAACCCAGATGCCGGGGGGGTGTTGCTAAATCAACCTCAGCAACCGGATAGTTTGTTGGAGGCGGGAAGGTACGCCGTGGGTTCCGCCGCAGCTGGCGCTGGGGCTAGGCGCACGCCCGTTGCCATGGAGATGGGGCGGGGCAGGCCTCCGCTCTCGGGTTCCCGCGCGCACGCGCCCACGGCCACGGCCACGTCCCGCCGCGAGAGGGGGCGGAGCGAGCGTGCGCGGCGGGCGCGCGCAGGCTCCGTAACCGAGCCCTGAGCCGCCTGCGCGGATCGGCGTCCGCAGCGGGCGGCTGCTGAGGTGAGGGCCGGGCCAGAGAAGAGGCATACCCGCTGGGGCGTAGGTCTGGGACCCCTGTCCGCCCTGGCGCGACCTCAGGACTCCCCGTGTCCCCTCCGTGACCCCCGCGGCCCGGGCCGCTCTTTGCATCGTCTTGCCCACAGATGGCCTCGGCCGGGTCCGAGGGCCTGGATGCGACTTTGGGGCAGCCCCTACTCTTACGGGCAGCCCACTGCGGCGGCCACCGGTGCAGGGCATGCCCCGGGGCCGTGGAGGTGGGGGAAAGAGGCGCGAGTCGCGTTTTAACTCCGCCCCTGTCCCCCAAGGCCGCGCCTCGCAGCCTGGGCTGCAAACTTTAGCGTCCCTTAAGTTACAGATGTGCGTGGGGCTCCGTGAGGAGGTGGGCGAAGAGAAAGGCTCTGAGTAAATAGGCGAGGCCCGGGATGAGCAGGGGCTGGAATCCGAAAGTGGGAGGCGGCGGTCCCCGACCCACCATAGTCCACCCGCTGCCTGCTAGCACCGAAGTTTAGCCTAGGACTGGGGCCGTTTAAGGGCCCGGCCCTCCGCCGCCTCGCACGTGAGCGGCACCAGGAAGCCGGCTGGGCGCAGCCTTCCCTGACGCTCGCCGGCACCGGCCGCACGCGTTCATGCCCGGCCTCCGAGCGGAGGGGAAACCGAGGCTAGAGGGAAGGCGCAGTCTGCCCAAGGTCGGCGGCAGCCGCCGTTTCTGAGCGCCAAGTGTGGTCGGAGCCCTCCAGGAAGAGGGGCGTGACCAGAGCTCCAGTGAAGAGCCCTGACCTTGTAAAGCTAGGTTTAGCTTCTGATTTCCCCCAAAGGGTTTGAGAATGGGACGACGGTGCTTTAGAGGCCCCGGTAGGCTTTCCCTGAGGAGGGTAGTCAGGGCACGATGGTCGGCTCAGTGGTTATTTCCTGGGCAGGGGTGGCTGTTCTTTCAGCTCCCAGCACTGGAGCGCTCGGCTCCTGCCGCACTGGATGCAAGCAGTTACTAAAAGTGAGCCTGGCATTTCAGGTGAACTCCCAGACCGTCTTCCTTTACTTTTGAATATAGGGGAAATTCATGTTACCCCTCCCCGTGCCGACCAAGCCTCTGAGACGCACAGGTGCATTCCCCCCCCACCCCCTTTCTGAGCAGTTTGGGAAGTGAGAGGAAGAGAAAGGTAGATACTAAGTTTCCTTGAGGAGACAGGAAGTGTTCAGCTGAAATGGCAGATCAGGGTGAGAGTCTGTCATTCCCAAGGCAAGTGGGGGCCTAGATGCTGAGAGTTTTCCAGCTTTAGGGCTCAGAGATGTCCAACAAGGATTTAATGCTTGAGCCTTTCCGGAAGCCAGTCACCAGAGAAGAGAGAGAAAGTGGAAATGGGGGCCTGGAGTCAGAGTGTCTGGGCTTGTGTTGCCTGCATTTTGGTCCACGTGGCTCTGTTTAATACCTGTGTTACCTTAGGCAAGTCTCTTAACCTCTAACCACTTGTACCTTTAGCCTTACCTACCTCTTTTGATTGCTTTAAGGTAATGAAGTAGCTGTGTTTCAACATTTAGACAGTGCCTGGCATATAGTAAGTGTTCTGTGGAAGATTTCTCATCATTATCAAAGAAAATTGGAATGAAAGTAACTGGAGATGAGATGAGTAGGACAGGCAGAAAAGAGAGAGATACTGATGGGTAGAAGCACAGATGGGTGAGACTAGTGGGCAACACCTCAATTTCCTGACACCAAAAGTTTAGAAATTTACTTTGCCTCTTTGTGAGCAAATACTGTGTGCTCATTGACTCCAAAGACGGTTTTTTGGTTTTTTTTGGTTTTTTTTTTTTTTTTTTGCATAAAATCAACACCCAGCACCCACAGGGAAGAAATAATTACACAGAGCTAAGTTTTCCACAAAGCTGCAGTGTGGCGTTTTCAGCTTCAAAACTTTTTAAATGTTAAATATTACTTTTAAATAATTGAGGTGGGAATGTCCCCCCAGTGGGTCACATGGCTCCCTTCCTCTTTAAACAGTCTTCTCTGGGCTGTGATTTATTCCCCCCGCCTGGGCAACTCAGGTCAAGCCCTCCTTGTAAGAGGGTTAGGCCTCTGACCCCAAGCTGCCTGAAGACCTAGTCAGCCTGCCTTGAATAGCTCACACACTGGCCTCTGTGTTACGTTCCTGGGCCTGCTGTTGAACAGCTTTTTTTCCTCTTATGGATAATTGTTACTTCTTCCTGCTGTGCGACTCCCCTTTTAGCAGCCTTTTCCTCTTACTCCTCACTGTTTCTTCTATGGGCTGGAAAATTGGGATGGAGCTTGTTAACATTGGTGGTTCAAGTCTGGGAAGCTTAGTGTTGGACTTTGTTCTAGCTGCTCAGGCCGTTTTGCTCTGGTCTTTCCTCTGGTTCTGGATGGGTGAGCTTGCTGGATTGCAAGGTCCCTGAAGGCCAGATGTACTTAGAAAAGGAGAGTTTCTTATGGAATTCTCTTCCTGAGGCACATTTTCCCTCACGGGTTTTTGTTCGGTATGGTTTGTCTCCCTGTTCATTAATAAGTGTTTGAACCCTAGCATTTGCCAGTCCTCCCTCTGGCAGTCCTCCCTGAGGCTTGGGGAGGCTGGGCTGGTGGCGTGGTTCAGCTGTGGGGAGGAAGAGGTAATGTGGAGGAAAGGCAGGCTGGCTGGTATCTGGTGCATCTTGGGGGAGACTTTTCAGGGCCAGGAGTATGTCTCTGGCTGACTCACTCCTGTGCCTCTCTATGACTCCGTTTCCCCAGGTATGACCAGGGCTGCCAGCTCACAGGTAGAGCTGCTCTGAGATCCTCACCAACTGCGATTAAGAAATAAAGAGGCTTGTGGCTTCAGTCATCCTTTGTAGCTCCCTTCTAGGTCACTCTGTGTGTAAACACCTCTGGCCCCTCCCCTCTCTGGGTCAGAGCACCCAAGGCAGGACTGAGGAGGTTGGGCCAGAACTGCTTGGCGGGCAGGTGGGCACATTGTCAGAGCAGGCTACCAGCCTCCTCTCCCTTCTTTCTCCTTTACAGCTGCCTTGAGGTGCAGTGTGGGGGGTCCAGAGCCATGTCGGACCTGCTACTACTGGGCCTGATTGGGGGCCTGACTCTCTTACTGCTGCTGACGCTGCTGGCCTTTGCCGGGTACTCAGGGCTGCTGGCTGGGGTGGCAGTGAGTGCTGGGTCACCCCCCATCCGCAACGTCACTGTGGCCTACAAGTTCCACATGGGGCCCTATGGTGAGACTGGGCGGCTTTTCACCGAGAGCTGCAGCATCTCTCCCAAGCTCCGCTCCATCGCTGTCTACTATGACAACCCCCACATGGTAAGGAGCCTCCATGGGGTTCTGCTCCATTGATGGACCTGGTGGGCCAGGGCTTCTTTGGGGAGGGTGGTTTTGGTTGCTGAGGAAAGGGTGGGAGAATCTTCAAGCTGGCTTTCACACCCCTCCTCTAAGAGCTTGAAGCGCCTTCCAGATTTAGCCTGGACTTCTGCTCCCAGCATCCATATGTGGGCTTTCTGTTTACCCAGGTCTGGTTCCCCTTGCCCATGGCTAATTGTGGATTTCCAAATGCAGTGGACTATACCACCATGAATCTCTAGCTTCTGCCAGGACTTTGGTCCCCTGCCTCCTCTTCTTGTCATCCCTCCTTCCATCTCCATTTGGGGCCAGTGCTCTAAGGCCAAGCCATTCAGATTCTGCCCACTCTTTGGGGTTACATCTTGCTGTTTCTGTGCTTTCCATCCCTCAGCTCTCCTGCCATAGTTGTAGGCCCTTGAGGGCTGAGAGGGCAGTCCCTGGGCATGGGGCTTGGAATCTTACCTCTTCAGCCATTCTGATGCCCCCCAACCCAGTGATATGGCATTTCCTTAGACCTCAAGCTGCCTAGTTGGGAGATGGCCTAGGGGGCTAGTGGAGCCAGATGAGCTACTAAGATTGTTCAGAATGCTGATGTCAAAGACTAATCCAGCATCACTAGCACCCTGTGGGCGTCTGGCTGTTCTTACAACCTATGGTGAGTCAGAGCTTGCCAATGTAGCCTACTGCTATGCTATGGGGTGGTGCTGCCCACAGCTGGATGGGCTGGCAGCTCTGTCAAGGGTTCTTCAGCCTCTAATACTAAGCTGTGCCAAACCAAGCATTTGGAATCCCCAGCTCTGATTTCTTTGCCTGGAGAGCTCAAGTGGACAAGCCCTGCAGCCTACCCAATGCCTGCTGACTGGCTCACTGGGGCACTAGTTGAAACAGGGTGTGCTGGCTCCCTGTCTGTGCCAGGTTCTACTCTACACCTACACTCTGGAGATGAATCAGACCTGGCTGTGCCCTCAGGAAGCTCTGTGTGGCTGACATGTCAGCCCCACACAAGTGATTCTCCAACAAGACACTGTGCTTGATGTCCACAGAACTTTGAGCTGTAGGTTCAGGGAGGCTGCCATGAGTCTGCTGGGGAGGCTCAGAGAAGGGGTAGATGTCAACTGGGCCTTCTCACGTAAGTAGAATTTTTGCTCTGTTGGGAAGGGGTACTTGGCTAAGAAAACTGCGACAGCAAGAGCCTGAAGACATGGGATGACCGGAGAATTGTGGTTAGTAGACATGTCGTGGGTGGAGAAAGGTGGAAGGGTTTGCTCAGCCAGGTGGTAGGGAAGTACAGCAGGTTGAAGAGAAGGGTGTGGCACAATTTGCCACCTTTGTTTTAGGAAGTTAGCTGAAGGGCAAGTGGAGGAGGGAAGGAGATGAAGCAGGAGGCCATAGAAGAGATTGGGCTGGGCCCAGGTGAGAGGTGACATGGGTTGGTTGAGGTTTTGCAGTCACATGGCCAGGAGATGGCACTAACTGAAGTTGGGAGCACTGGAGCCTGAGTGAGATGGGACAGACAGTGGGCTATGGGGAGCTCCTAGATCAGATGTGTGACCCTCACCCCTTCAAAGGCTCTGTTGTGTAAGCCCCTGCTCCTCCTTCCACACCTGGCCCAGTCAGAGCCTTTTGCAAGGAGAGTCCTTGCATCTGGCTCTCTTCCCATTGGCATGTCTGCCTGTTCTGGAATCAACATGTTGCCTCTTGGGTTGGAAGTGCTAATTCCTGGATGGGAAAGGGCTAAGGCAGCAGGGTACTCTGGGGTCAGTGCTGGAGGCTGGTCTAGGGAAGAGTGAGATGGAAGAAACCTGGCATGGGATATTCTGGCCTGGCCACTGCCTCCTGCAGCTTTCCCAGAGATGTGGTGGACCCCATGGGGTGGGCCCTGGGTCTCCAGGGTTGGTTGGTCATAGTCTGACTTGGGTGCTTGTCTGGGGGACTGTGGCCTGAGAGCACAGCCTTGAGGCTAGCAATCCTGAGTTCTGATTCTGTCCCATCACTATCCTGCTGAGTGATCTTAGGCATATCACATAATCTTTCTGAGCCTGTATTTCCTTGTCTGCAGAGTAATGATAAAATACCTGCTTCATAGTAGACTGAGAAGAGTTAAGTGATATAGGTGAGGCATTTATCCCAGCACTTAGCCCTCAACAGATGCTTAACAACAACAAAGACAGGTGGGAAAACCACTTGTGCTAACATGTGCTGAGAGGTCAGACTGAGCAAACCTAGAACCTTGGCCTGACTGTGGTCATTTGGCTGGCACAGAGGATGATGAACAGGTCAAGATGGCCCTTGTGACCCTGCCCCTCCCAGTCCTGGGTCAGTCCGAAAGACACCTGTGTCCCCATTTAGAGCTACATCACACTCTGGCACGTGGGATGGCTCAGGGACACTTGGGTCCCCATCTACTCTGGGAGCTGGTCATTGCATTCTCTGCCTGACAGATTGTAACAGGTTCAGGGAACCATGGACCCCCAGGCTTCAGGTGCTCGTGGCTATCACAGACTGGTCCGGAAGGACCTGAGGCCTCCTGGTCCACAGTCCCTATTATGGAGGGGAAAACAGGTTCAGATAGTAGGAGTAAGGTGCTGATCTCATACGTTTTTGTTCTCATTTAACAAATATCTGAGCACCTGCTCTGTACGAGGCTCTGTGTTGGGCACTAGGGTACCATGGGGACCAGGACCTACCAGTGTGTGGGTGTTAGGAGCCTAGAGGAAAGGCCCCATTCTGGTCCTGGAGTGGGCTGAGAACCCAAGCTTTTTGCCCCCTAGGCTGCCTCCACCAGCAGTATGCAGTCTGGGGCATGCTCTGGTTCTCAGAGAAAGAGAATAGAGGCTGACCTGTTGAGTGTCCCACCCCCATTGTGTCCTTCCCTTGCCCAGAGCAACAGGTGCCAGTATCTTGCTTCTCTGTGAGTGTGGAGAGGCAGTGAGGCTGTGTCAGTCTCTGTGAGTGGGGTGGTGAGTAACCAGGTGAGAGGTGCCACCTTTAGATGCTGCCCACCCCCATGAGGTGTGACGGACAGTTCCCTAGGCATGCCTCTTCCTGTCCTCAGCTGGGCAGGGAGGAAGCTGGTCCCACCTAGGCTGGGTGTGGGCTCAGGAAGTAGCACAAGAAAGGGTACCACTAAGGTGGGACAGTGGCAGTTGCTGTGGACCTGTTCATAGTAGCTGCTGCTGGAGCTCTTAGCCTTGAGCCCTGGAGTCCTATATGGGAAGAGGCTGCAGGTCTGGGTGAGTGGTTCCTGTGAGGCAGGAGGAAGGATTCCATTCTCCATCCCTGAAAGCCTTGGCATGGTTAGGGATGGGAAGGTAGGGAAGAAGTCTCTTGGGAAGTGGACAGACCCTGGCAGGGGCTCATGGGTGTACTCACCCACCTCAGAGCCCAGCATTCATGGAGTGTGGGCCATTCCTCTTCAAGGTATGCAAGGGAAGGGGGATGAGTTCAGAGATAAGGGTCATGTGTAGGTGGATATCAGTCACAGATCTGCTACCTTACACACACTGGTCCATACTGCCCTTGCATGGCTGAAGAAGGGTCCTGACTAGAAAAACTGCTCTGCCCTCAGCCCTGCTTCTGGGGTGGGTGCTGGGGGCTTGGAAAGTGACTTCAGGCTCCCTTTTTGGGCCTTGTCCCTCTGGGAGCCTTCAATGTTGGAGGGGAAGGAAGGAGCTGGGAGGACCCTGAGTGCCTCGCTTGATCCTGGCCTGCTCTGGCCCATGGACAGGCCCTAGTAGATGGGCTGCTGTCACTGTGCCTGTGGGCTCATCCTGTCTGCCAGGCTGGCCCTCTACCTCCTGCCCCACTCCGTGCCACCACCACTTCCGCTGCTGTGTTTGGGACTTAAGAAACCTGCCTGCTTGCTTGTATGGGGAGCCTGGCTGAGGCAAGAGGAGTGTGGCAGCTAGTTCAATTTATGTGGACCTGTATTTGCTGCTTATACCTACCACCTAGGAGGTGGTGTTTGCTCCAGGCATGGAGTGGGTTGGGGAACTGGTGGTACTTGCTTCTGCCTTTAGTAAGCAAGACTGCCATCAAAGCCCCCTTTCCCCTAGTCCAGTGAGAACCAAGGCCCAGGGCCACTAGGTCTGCAGGGGCTGAGGCTGGTGAGAGTTCTGACATAGGCCTGTGTCACACTCCCTCTTCCCTCAGTATGTGTGGAGAGGAGGCTCCCTGCCCTCCCTGGAGGCACTTAGTTTGGATGGAGCCTGGGAAGGGGTGAGGGAGCAAGATTTCCCAGGACTGACCTCCTCACCAAGGGCAATGGGAATGTGGGCTGGGATGTTTCCTGAGGGCCCAGGCTGCCCCCTATCCTGGTTACTCCATGGTTATTTTCTGCCAAGTGGAGTCCAGGCATTTGCTGTGCAGCAGGTTAACTATGTGGAACAGGTCTGGAGGCACGAGCTCCTCTCTGCCCACTAGAACTGTCCTTGAGGTGAGGTGAGATGAGGTGTGAGAGGAAGGGGCTTTGGATTTGCCCTTATAGGTTTGAATCAAGGCTCCACTGCTAACCAGTGTGTGACTTTAAGTGACTCACTTGGCCTGTCTGAGTCTGTCTCCTCATCTATCACATGAGAATAAAAGAATCCCTACCTCAGGGTTTTTGTTTTATGGGGGCTAATTGATAAGGATATGGTCCAATACCCAGCCCTTAATAGGTGGGTATCACACTTGACATCCAGTCCTGCCTGAGGACCTCATGCCACTGGGACTTTGTACTTTTAGGGACCCTGCCTGCCTTTCTGGTTTAGTCCCAGCCTCCTGCGGATTGTCTGGGCAATGTGAGGTGGCAAAGTACAGGGAAAAGCCATTGTGAAGCCTGCTCCTTGCCAGGGCCAATTTCTCGGACTCTTGGATGCCTCTGGGTTGTGTAGTGCAGCTCTGAAGCTGGTCTGCTTGGGTTTGAATCCTGACTTCAGCACTGCCTTGCTGTGTGATGTTGGCTGAATCAGGAACAGGGGTGAAAACAGTACCAACCATAGAAGCCTGTTTGGATTTAATGAGCTTATGCTTGGAAGGCAGCACCTGGGGAAAGTGGTGAGTGCCTGGTCAGATATCAGCTATTTTTAGGATTCTGTTTGAAGGTGTAGGGATATAGAGGAAGGTTCCTGAAAGGTTTCTAAGTAAACTCACCTTTGAGGGCTGGTATCTTGTTGACTCCTCTCTTCCCTCCCGAGCCTGAAGAATGAGTCCTGTCCTCTGGCCTGGCTGTCTGTATCATCTCGTGTCCTGACTGGTGCCTGTCTCCATGTGCCTTTGGGCGTAAGCTTCCCAGGGAAGTTGGGGGTTGGCGTGTTGACCTGTAGTACCTAGGAGGGCAAACGAGGTCCCGTATCAACCCTCTAGTCATGGGCCAGTGCAGCTCCTCTATTCCCTTGGGAGTACCAGTGCAAACGAAGGGCCCTGCCTCTACTTTCCCCCTTAACTTGGGTAGCTCTGGGTCAGTAGGCTGGCATGGGAAGAGTAAGGGCAGCCCTCTGTGCCTGGGTTTGAGAGATGGTGCTGCTGTCCCTGTCAGGTTGTGTAGGTTGTGGGCCTGGGGTTGGCTGTTTCTATTAACCCTGAACCCAATGGCTACATTTGGTCTGGGCCGCTGACACCATTTCTCATTCCTGCATCCTGAAAGATTATCAGTCTTGTCCAGTTCCCAGACTCATCAAAATCTTGGCTTGGCAGGGGCCCTGAAGTGGCTATCTTCACTATAGCCTCACGCAACAGGGTCAGCAGGGCACTGTGACACCACTCAGGAAGGGCCAGTGGGGCCAGCCTTAGGACTAGCTCAGACCTGAAAGCTTCAGGTTCTAAGCAGATTGCCCTCTTCTCCCAGTAATGGGACTTAGGAGGCTTCTCTGCCCAAAGGAGATGCTCTGGGGTGTGGCATGCCTCTATTGTTTTCCTGGTACTCTTGCTTTGAGGACACATCCTGGATGGGCTTGTCTTTACCCCGAGTGGTGGTGGGCCTGGCCACTGCCCTGTTTCCTGGGTGTGGTTCCTTGTAGGTACTAGTTCTGATCCAATTCTTGTTCTGGGCAGAGGTACCCAGAGAAATAGCTGATCTGGGGAGGAAGAGGAGCAGGCAGATAGAGCTGGGAGGCCCAGGCCTGTGTCCTAGGGTTAGGCCCAAATAAAGATACTGCACTGAGCCAAGGTGGATGGGATCTCTTGCCCGTCGGGACATCCCAGCCTTCTGGGTGCTTGACAGCCTTAGTAGGCCTTTTCCCTGGAGGCGGGTCTGGGCTTTACTGGGAGGCCAGGAAAGCTTTCTTCTGCCACTGGATCAGCCTTGCCACTCTCTGGGTTATTTTAGGGCCTGTTCCATTTCCTTCTTGCTGGTGCCTTGTTCAGCTGCTTCCCAGCTTCAACTTTGCATGGGGCTGCTTAGTGGGTGGTAGGCTTGCTGAGGGACCTTCTAGGCTCCCACTTAGGCCAAGGCAGGGGAGGGGGTAGGAAGTGTTCTTACTTGTAGAATTAGGGAGTTGCTCAGCCAGGAAAGGAGCTGCTGTGCCCCACACACCTCCTGGATCCTAGGAGCCCTGCCTTCTTAGCTCCCTTCTTCCACTGTGACAGGAGCTCCACCTTTCCTCCAGGTAGAGGGAGAGGAAGTTTGTTACGGTGCAGGGCTTGTGTGTGCATGCATGTACTGTCACTGAGCATGCCTCAAGAACTTTCTGTGTGCGCAGGATCCTGGACCTTTTTGCCTAGAGGCCTGGAGTGATGGAGAGAGATGGGGAGGCCATCAGTTACAGTGCAGCACAAGACCTTCTCCCTGGTGGGTACTTGGGATCAGAGAGGAGGGGCTGCTTGGTGGAGAGCAACAGAAGGCTTTGAAGGGGAAAGTTGAGCTGAGTCTTGCAGGATGGGCAAGAGTTTCCCAGGCAGAAGGGACTCTGGAATAGAGTGAAGAAGGACATTTCCGACAGAGGAAGTAGCTTACGCAAAGGCAGGAAGCATGGGAGGACGTGGCATGTTTGGGGAGCTGCAAATAGTTTCATGTGGGTGTGTGTGGGGGTGTGGCGGGTGAGGAGGCTGGCAAGGCGGGCTGGGCCAGAGCCTGGATCCATCCCTCCCTCTGCCATGCAGACACTCAGTAGGTGCCTGCCCATCTGAGCTGTGGCCCCTGCTGGGGCCTGAGGCTGCAGAAAGGGAGTGCAAGGTGAGTGTGTGGGCAAATTCATGCAGTATTATGTAGGCCACTCCAAAAGAACCTTGCCTACTTGGCTTGTGAATTTAGTTTCATCCTAGAGGTAAATTGGGAGCCATTGAGCGGTTCTAAGCAAGATGACCACATGTGTTCTGTTGCCTTTTGGCTACTGAAGAGGATGTTGAGCTGGGAGTCCCATGAGGGCTGCTGAAGCGTTCCCAGGAAAGACCCTGGAACTCAAACCCAGGCAAGCCAGCAGTAGAGAGGAAGAGATCAAGTGACCTTCCACTTGTTTCTCCATGTGACTTATGTAGATGTTTCCTTTGCACAGCACAGGTTGGTAAGGTCAGGGACATGAAGATAGGCTTTGTGGCAGGCAGTGTCCCTTGGCTTGTCAGCAGGAGGTCCACCAGGTAACTTCCTGCCTATCTGGTCATGCTCAAGTCTTGGCGTGTGAGTAGGGCAGTTGCACCATCTAGAGACAAGAAGTGGTATTGCAGTGGTCTCCTGTGCCTCTGGGTGGGGTGGGAGGAGTTTCAGGCCAAGAGAAGTGACTGTGTGCAAGGTAGACTTGTGGAGGTCAAGAGAGTTTACAGCAAATTATTGGGGGAGAAGAGAGTGCCACTGAACCACTCTGAAAGGCTCTCCAAGAGGGCATTTGAACCTGAAGGACAGCAGGGAGGAGCTTCATATTCAGAGGTTTGGGTCGTTGGGCATTCTAGGCCATGGACAGTTGTTTGGACTGTGTCATAGCTACTAATAACCAACAATTATGGAGCACTTGCTGAATGCTGGGCCCAGGCTAAGCTCTCGTGAAGTTTCTTGTTTAATATGGCAGTTCTGTAATAGATACTGAGGAACTGGGGCTCCCAGAACCCAAGGGACTTGTCTAGAATCACACGACTCAGATTCACACCGTGGCTTGCCTCTCTCAAGCTGTGTTTCTGACCACTATACCCTGTTGCCTGCTACTAAAGCTCTGAGCCCGGTTTGGATGCCATAGGATTCAAGGGGGCTGCAAGGGGACCAGAGCCACAGGCAGTTGAGGGTTACCGTTAGGGTCTGCTTAGAGGTGAGAGCCTGGAATAGGTGCCCAAGTCCCAGGCAAACTGTGACTAAAAGGAAGGGCTGGGTTGGCTTCAGTAGAGGAGGCCATTCAGGGCTGAGAAACCCCCAGGGGATTTCAGAGAGGACTTGGAAAGGGCTGTAATGGGAGGGAGAGGTGAGAACAGGTAATAATGACTTCACAGTGCTGGGAAGGAGGGGTAGGGACAGGAGTAAGTGGAGGTAGAGGGAGAAGCCTGTTTAAACTTAGGGGTCATCCCTGTGAAGGTGAACTGCTGGCAAAAAAAATTTTTTTTGTGGTGGGTGGGGAGAAAGGAGCCTTTAGAGTTGAGCAAAACCCAGGATTGAGGGTACAAGGTCTGTGCTGAATCTCTTGGATTTAAGATCACATGCCTCTGAGGGCCCAGCCTGAAGGCTGGTACAGACTTAGGCACCTGGAAAGCTGACATGGGAAACAGGGAGCAGTAGGTGAGACAAAGTGAGGCCTCCTGATGCCAGGAGGAGAAATGAGTACTGGGTCTTGCAGCCTTTGGTCAGTCCTAGGAAGTGATGGAGGCTCACACGGGAGCCTTACATGGCTAAGGTTTCTGGGAGCCAGAGGAGGGAAGTTAGGTAGGGAGAGGAGCAGAGTGGAAAGTGCAGGCACTAACAACCTATAGAGACTTGAAGGGGAACCCAGTGGTCTTGGCTTTTAGCCAGAAAGGGACTTAGGAAGTGGGATAGGTCCCTGGATGGGCCATGGGTTGGAGAAGAAGTCTAGAGGCTCTGGTGATGGTAGCTGGCCCTATGAGAGGGATGGGGAGGATGATCTCTTCACAGAATTTCACCAGCAACCCAGAGGCCAGTGATCCTAATTCTGTGTCCTGACAGGTGCTTCCTGCAGCCCCTCCACAGCCACTTGCCAGGTCCTGACCCTGCAAGCATGTGTGTAAAACACACACACACACACACACACACACGTTCTTGCTTTCCTAGGGCATGACCTTGGAGGGCTCTGAGCTCTTTATTCCTACTCCTCAGTTTTGCTCCCTTGCCTGCCATAATTTCTCTGCCCATGAAGCCTGCTCTTCTCCAGGAGATAGGAGGGAAATGAGCTAATAGGATTGTGCTGGACCCAGGCTGAAGGATCAGCCACTGTACAGTTCTGCTGGTGGCCCTGGGGCGTGGGGGCTGACAGAGGGTCTCATGGTGGGGTGGAATGGCCCCCTCAGTGGAGGCATGTGGAGGGTGATGGTCAGAGGTCCTCTCTGTCCTTCCCTCTCCTGGCCTCCGGGAGGGCAGAGACCAAGTCTAACCCCTCAGCATGATCCCTGGGTTTCCACAGGGCGTGGCATGTTTGTTGAAGGAATAGATGAGAGTCCTGCGGTACGATGCCACAGGCAGGGGCCATAGGTGGGTTCCAGTAAGAAAACAGCTAGCTCTGTCCTGGTATCTGGGGCTGCATGGCTTGTCAGAGCTGGTGGTTGTTTTAGGCCTGATCTGGCACAACTCCAGGAGGAAGGAGGTCTGAGGGCCTCCTCCCTTTGCCCAACTCTCACACCCATGCTTTGCTTCCCCAGGTGCCCCCTGATAAGTGCCGATGTGCCGTGGGCAGCATCCTGAGTGAAGGTGAGGAATCGCCCTCCCCTGAACTCATCGACCTCTACCAGAAATTTGGCTTCAAGGTGTTCTCCTTCCCGGCACCCAGCCACGTGGTGACAGCCACCTTCCCCTACACCACCATCCTGTCCATCTGGCTGGCTACCCGCCGTGTCCATCCTGCCTTGGACACCTACATCAAGGTGAGGCACAGGCCTGGGGTGTGTGTGTTGGGGACAGCCAGGCCCCTTGGGTGGAGCTGAGGAGGACTGCCTAGAATGGGAGGAAGAGGTGGTTTTGGCAGAGCAGCACCCTGGGACCCTCATGGAACGGGTACCTGTGGAGCTAGGAAGATGGGCAGAGGTTGTTGGCATCTCTTTCAGATGCCCAAGATCTTGTGGGAGCCGGAGCATATCCCAAGAGCATGGAGAGCTTGTTCATAAACCTGGTCTGGTTAGTTTGGCTCTCTGGCTTTGACCAAAGACATCCTTAGTGCTTATCCCACACTCTGGCTCAGACGAATGGACAGGCCACTTTATTCTCATCCTGCTGGAGGCCTGCACAGCAAGGACCTGAGGCTCCCAGTGTCTGGGCAGGCCCCAGGTAATTATGTATTGCCCGTGGCCCTGCCTCTGCATGGGCTTATATACCTGCTCCCAGAGGCCAGGGCTGGGGCAGCAGTGGCAGGCTCTGTCTCCTTTACTTCCTGACTTGGTCGCTGGCAATGCTGGCAGCCCAACCTTCCTGGAGGAAGGAGAGCCAGCCACCAGGTCATCTGACAGGGATTTCTGTGTCTACAGAGATAGATTTTTTAAAAACATGCCCTGTTACACATCCCTCCTCCCCTAAACGTTTTGTAAACTTGGGTGCTAGGGAAATGACCCCAGTTGGGTTTGGACATGATTGTTTGTTCATTCATTTAACTTGTATTTATTGTCTGTGTGCCAGGTGCTATAATGGGCACAATGTGAATGAAACATTGGTGCATGAAACAGACATTCACAGTGAGGTAGTGAAGATAGGTAATAAATGTCAGACAAAAATGGGACATGTGCTAGAGAAGGAGAGGGTGAGAAAAGTCAGGGAACCAACTTGGACAGAATGATCAGGGACAGCCTCTCAGAGGAGACAACCTCAAGGCAGAGTCCTACAAGAGCCTTTAGAGAGGAGATAAGAACTTCTAGGCAGAACTTTGATCTACATGCAGCAGGAAGTCACTGCAGTGTTCCAGCCAGGAAAATAACACAGTTGGAGCCACGTCTGTACAAGATGGGCTGTCCCATATCTGGGCAGGGTGGGACTGGACCATAGACCTGGGACCAGGTGTAGATGCTTAGACCTAGGGCTGAGGAATTAGCCTAGGAGGCTGTCATGAATCCCATTGTAAGTGGTGGCAGCTTGGGCAGGCCCAGTGGCTACAGAGATGTGGACAAGGATAGAGATTTACAATCACTTTTGGGATAGAACTGATGGACTTTGGGTGGATTCGCTGTTGGGGAAGGAGAGGCAATGAGGGAGTCACAGAGGGCTCTGCTCCCCTCTGGCCTGGGCAGGTGGGCAAGCTTGTAGTGATGCTTTTCACTGACATGTGGGAAACTGAGGGAGGTCCTGGTTTTGCGGGGAAGGTAGCTATTTGGGCTATGTCAGGGAGCTGCCTGAGATACATCTAAGTTGGGGGGTGTGGAGTCAGCAATGGTATGTGTGGCCTGGAGTTGAGAAAAGGCTGGGCTGGTGGATATATTTGGGGACATCAGCCTGTTGGCAGTATTTGACCTGGGAGGCTGCCCTGTGCCTCCCAGCCTCTGTGGGGCCAGGTAGGCGATAGACAACCTGTGGCAGCAAAGGCTGCACAGAGGGTGTGGCCAGTGTGGCAGCGGTCAGGGAACAGAACAAGAGAGTCAGTGGGAGTGACAGCCTGGTACACTTGGAGGATCCTTGCAACTTTGTTCACCAAAGCAGCTTGGGGAAAGGGACAGAGTGTTGATGATGGAAATGGGAGCTCAGATGTCCCTGGAGTCTGGTGTTGGGGCTGAGGAATGAATAAATGAGGCCCTGGGTCACCAGCTGTGTCTTTGGTGGTCAAGGACAGGTTTAAAGAATCAGGAGTGAGAAGACCTGGAAAGGGGAGGGCTGTCACAGTGGTAGGGCAGGGGCACAGGGAAAATAGAGGGGAGTTTCCTTTGTGAGCTGGAGGGTGGTGGCCAGAAGGGGTGCTGGGCAGGATGTGCTTGCCTGGCTGCGGTTGGACTGGAGGTGGGGGTGGGCTGGCTGATGGTGTGGGCAGGAAGGAAGATACCAGTGCCCTAGGCCTGCTTAGTGTGCCACCTCTGGGGAGTCCTCCCCCATTTCACTCAAGGAAGGCCTCTCCAGTCCTGTCGGTGCCATCCTCAGCCTCATGGGCCCATCTGGAGGGGCACCCCTGGGAAGAGACTTCTTGGGTTCCAGACCTCAGAACAGGACGTGTAGCATGTGGTGTGGTGGCGAGCAACTCAGCCACCAAAGCCTTTTCCTGGCTTCAGGGGTTTATTTTTAGACACCTTTGTCCAAATTTCCCGGCCCCTGACAGTTTCACAAGTTGCCTGGTTTTGACGTCACCTCTTTGATGAAAGCCCTTCCTCCTTCCTCCCCGCTCCCATGGGAGCCTGTCAGCTGTGCTCCTAGAGTGGGGGTTGAGGCAAGAAAGCCAGGGATGTGGGGGAGAGCAAGGGGCTTCTCCCCTGTGAGGCATGCTTGTGTGGGCTTGGCCATCAGCAGGGAAAGTAAGATAGAGACCAGCTGCCCACAGAAGAGGCATGGCCCAAGGTCCTGGGCTTGTATTGGCAGCAGGATGTGGGGGTTGCCTCTACTCCTGTGTTTAGGCTGACCTTGCGTCTTGGGGAACAAAGCCAGGGGAGAGATGAGGAAGGGGCTAGCTCTGTTTGCTGGTCACAGCCTGCAGTGGACAGGGGTGGCCCTGTGCCTCTCTCAGCCCAGGAGACAGCAAGGAGAGAATATAAGGTTCCCTTCCATCCCTGCCTTCATCTACCCTGCCCTGGGGTCAGAGAAAGGAGATTACTAATGAGACTGAGTGCTTCTGACTGTAGCACCAACAGCTGACTGCCTTTAGCTGTGTGTGTGTGCATGTGTGTACACCCTTCTTTTTTCTCTCTGGATCTGGGACTGCTGTGAAGGTTCTTCAAATGGAATGACAGCAGCCATCAGCTTTCTGTTTTGGCAGGGGTGAGGGAGGCCAGGAGCCCTGCTGCCAGGAGTTGCGGGGGGAGGATGTGTCAGGCTCACCAGCCTCTCTAGAGGCTGGGTGAGGGGCAGGGGTGAATGGATCTTAGCTTTGGGTTTGGGAAGTGGAGAGCAGCTGCTGTCCTGGGAGTTGCAGATGTGCCTGAGCCTGGGACCAGATTGGTCTCATGGGACAGAGGGACCTGAGACCAACAAACCTGAAGTTCACAGCGAGAGGCCCAAGGAGAAGCACTTGTCAGGACTCTCGGGATTCTGGAAGGGATGGCTGATCTCAGCTTTCCTGATTTGCATGGCAGCCTCTGGCTCTCTGGCTAGCCTTCCCCAGCTTGGCAGCCTGGCAAACTGCTATAGGAGCTGGAACTCTGCCTTTCTCCATATAAACTGCTAAGGGCCCCCAGGCTGAACACTCATTCCCCAGGAATCCATGGGTACCGTGTGACCATCACTCCATATGGAAGATGCCTCAGCTTTATCAGGCCGCTCCCCTGGAGTCCAAGGAGGTGGCCTCTAGTACAGGAGGAGACCACTCCCCAAGTCCCAGGAAGGGGTGTCTTCTGGAAGCTGCAGGATGGAACAGAACTTGTTTGAAATTGCAAACCTGCAGAGGAGAGATGGGGCCCAGATGTGAGCCCAGAGCAATGGGCAGAGGCCCCCAAATTCACCACAGTCTTAATGAGTGTCCAGGGAAGGCTTCGGACACATGGAACAGACCAGGACTGAGGGATGGGCCTGGGAATTCCATGTGTGGGATTGTGTGTGTAAGGTCTCTAGTGCAGTTTGCTCATATCTGTCTGTAGCACTTGGTGGGAAAGGCCATTGAGAGTGCTCCACTGGCATAGCCAAGCCCCCATACCTGACTTCTCTCCCAGACCCGTCCAAAATCCTTTTCATAAGTGCCCTTCCCCGTCGTCTCTGATTTCAGGGAGTTTTTAGGGGAGGGTCTTTGTAAAATGGTTTGATCTTCTTCTCCCAAGTTCAGGGTGTTACAGGGCATTGTTCATGTAGTGGCTGATTGGCTGGGGAGTGCAGGTGGCCCTGGAGGTCAGACTAATGTCTGACCATCCCCCATCAAATTGGAGAAAAGTGTGTGGGGAGGGGTCACCGAGGGGATGTAGTAAGCCTCTGAGGGGAACCTTGGTGGCTGAATTCTGGGACAGCTGGGTTGACTGGGACTGTCTTACCAGGGGCTTAAAGGGGATAAGGCCAGGTGTGGTGGCTCATGCCTGTAATCCCAACACTTTGGGAACCTGAGGCGGGAGGATCACTTGAGCCCAGGAGTTCAAGACCAGCCTGGGCAACATAAGTGAGACCCTGCCTCTAAAAAACAAAAAACAGAAAAAAAAAAAAATTAGCCAGGCACTTATAGTCCCAGCTACTCAGGAGGCTGAGGTGGGAGGATCGCTTGAGCCTGGGAGGTCAAGGCTGCAGTGAGCCATGATTATGCCACTGTACTCTATCCTGGGTGACAGAGTGAGACTCTGCTCAAAAATAAATAAATAAATGAAGGGGACATGGTGGCTCACACCTGTAATCCTAGCACTTTGGGAGGCTGAGGCAGGTGGATTACTCCAGCTCAGGAGTTTGAGACCAGCCTGGGCAACATGGTGAAACCTCGTCTCTACAGAAAAAAAATACAAAAAAAATTAGCTGGGCATGGTGGCATGGACCTGTGGTCTCAGCTAGTCGGGAGGCTGAGACAGGAGAATTGCTTGAGCTCAGGAGGCAGAGGCTGCAATGAGGCAAGATCACGCTATCGCACATCAGCTTGGGTAACAGGAGTGAAACCCATCTCAAAAAAATGAAAGTAAAAACATTTAAAAAAAAAAAAGAAGAAGGAAGGAAGGAAGGAAAAGGAAGGAAGTAAAGTAAGGAAGTAAGGCAAGGACCCCAGACCATAGTTCTCAGACTGCTCTGACTGTGCTGAGGTGCCCTGTGGCTATTAGCCTAGGGTGGAGGCTGTACTCAG